GCACATGGACTAACAAGATGGACCTGGTACATGAACTACTTGAATGAACCACCAATGGACTACCCTACATATAAACCCCTACAATTTCTAACCCAAAAGTTTAAGAATCAGTTTGTCTGCTCATGTTCCAATCTTCTAGGAAAAATTTTAAAACGTCATCGCTTCTGCATGCATTGCGTGCCCTTTATTCCAAGTGTAACCCCCTTTTCAAGTGTGATCCATTTTTCCAAGTGAGACCCACTGTCTATGGCGAAAGCATAATATATAGATTTAGACTTCTCTGCGATAAACCAGTGGTAGCAGGTTGAAACGTTTTAGGCGCTCATTATAGCTAAAATCGGGTAACATAAGCCGAGTCGCACGTCGTTGTACCCCTTCTATTTTTTTTTATCATAGTAACTGATTTTGGGCTCCAGATTTCTCGAGGTGAGAACGTACGAGAGACGCATAAAGGGAGTTGGTAATAAAATTTGCTCCCGCTGATAGTGCGACGGATGAAACCTAGCATTAAAGACTGATTAGACGAAAGAATTCTGAAGTCTCTATACCCTTCCTCTGAAACAACCATTTTCTCGTCTGAACGTAATATTGAACATTATGACTATCAGAGTCCCTATTGTTAACAGTTGTGACTTAAAGTTACTGTTGTTTTTCATTTTAATATTGAATCAAATTCAGAGATATGATTAACCCATCACCCACAGCATTTCTAGAGCGCTAATCAGCCACAAGAAAAACGGATTTTGTAGCGGTTTTGTTGTTAGGCACTGGTGGACTATCGCCAGATATATTTATTTATGTAAACCAAGTTTATTTTCATAAGAAAAGCCCGTGTACACGCAGTTATGCGAAATACTCTGAACAAAACTATCATCTATAAAACAGTACGACATCAGAAATATTTGTTATTTTATTGAGCGAAGACTAGTTGGCTCAGCTTACACCGCGGAGTGCATAGAATGAAGTTTTAAATATAATAAGTTCATCGTGTAACAAAACTACTCCAAGCTGCGTTCATTGTCTAGCAGCTCCGGTTTTATTTTGTCATTTAGAGCTGACTATCTTCTTTAAAAATTCACATCTCATTGTTAGGGTACAAGATAAGTCCACAAATAGCCATAACAAACGATATCCCAGAAAATAAACAACCTAATCGTAGAAAGGCACCACAGTTGTGCACCCATATAATTCACTTGCAATTCATACCTACCCTATATATTAAGAATCTGCATTTAGAAACTTCTAAAATGCTCTTTTACATTAATAGTCCTAATTGAAATTTATTTTTTTGTGAGCTATCCCTTCAAACTGCAGCACAGCAATATGGACTAACACCCACAATTAAACTTCTTAAAGCATTTTCACCCCAAAAAAAGAAAGAAACGGATTTTCCTTGGTAACACAATGAAATGAATCTGAAACAAAACTTAATACTATCTGGTGGTTTACTGCGCATGTTAACAACACGTAACCTCTAAACAGGCGTGTGAAGTTCCCTGCAATAGCATATTTGCATGTTATCGTCATTTGACTACAACTACCAGAATTCACTTCGTTTTTACTTTATTATTTAAATTTTGAAGTCCCAGTGGGGTTTAAATCACAATCGCCGCAATTAATAAAAGAAACAGATGAAGTGTAGGATTCTGGGAACTGTAGTCAAATGACGTCATCATGCAAATCGCCTTTTACGACGACAACCAACGAACCATGGAAAAACAAAAACAAAAACAAATACAAAAAACCTTGATCGAAATCCACCAGTCACAACCCACGAACATGATCTTTGCCCATGTTTCACTAATTTAGTTACAGGGTACTTTAACTTGTTGGATGTTTACAAAGATAATTGACAGTTGTGGTAAACGCAACCGATGGTCGAGTTCTACATAGTTCGCGTGCTACTGAATCTGGTACAGTAATGATATTCTTGAGCATGAAAGAACAAAATTTAACGAGAAAGGAACTCCACTCGTCACGGAAACTAGACAACAATCCCAGCCGCTACTGCCCTACGGCGGTACCTTGGTAAAGCGTCACCTTATTTATCAATCAATGTCAATATTGTAGATGTATAAATGAATATGGCAAACGACTGATTATTTTTCTCCAGGCTAAAAAGTGGCCAGTGAGATGACCGTTCGGTGGGATTCCATTGGGGCGGAATTCCCTTCCAATTACTCTGATTGTGTGAGGATCTCGTTTTTCAGACGCTTCTCTGTTTTGTGACATCGGGGTTCTTTACGTAGGTCCAAGTAATCCGGGATCGTCTTGGTGCCATTTAGTTTATTCACTCCGCACATTAAGTGAACATGATTGTCTCTATTTGCTATCTATTTGCCGTAGAATTTCTTGTTTAACAGGAAGATGAGTAGGTTGACATTAATCTTTGCCCGCCCGAACATCTTCATCACTGCTACACCCTCATATTGAAGCTGAAGCAAGTCCTGTCAAGATTAACATATGGTCATATTATCACTAAGAAGAAGGATGAATAAAATAAGCCAATTTCCACAGAAACCACAATGTGTGTACTACATTCAGTAATAAGCTTTACTTTTAGTTTGACTTGCTCGAAACTATACTGTCTTACCTGAAACACAAGCTCCACCTTTTCCATGGCTACGCCCATGAATTTAGCGGACACCTCAAACACTCCAACTTCATCTCCTGATTTGATGTCAAACATGACATTCTTAAACCTAGTAAAGAAAAGAAGTACAAAAACACGCTTCGGTTATGGAAAAGTCGGGAGACCTATAAGACTCAGTTTTCCACTTCAATAACACGTTAAACAAGTCTGACAGGAGAAATGTTAGCATCAACCCTAGGTCACTTGTCTGCCGTGTACAATGAACCAGTGAATTTGAACTGAACGTAACATCAAAAACCTAATTTCGACATTTGCGCAAAAACCCAAAGGGAGCTACCTCGCGATTTCTTAACTCAGGTTTACAACATTAAAAAGTAAACATAGATAGAACCTTAAAGTAGGTTTGCATAAAAATGAAGGAAATAATAGGAACCCAGCAACAAAGAGTGTTAGGATTGTGGAACATCAACGTGCATTACAGACAGTCCTCCAAACGAACTTCAAACAACTCACGTTCACTTTTCAGTATAGACTATCTGGGACACTTCCTTTGAGCACTCATCGATGAATGCTATTTTAAGATAATAAAGTACGTCTTCAGTTTTACTGACTGTGATGGTGGTAATCCTTCAATCTCCAGTATAACTCCTTTCTCGTACAGTCTCTGTGCAGTGTACTTGATCTCTCCCAGGTAAACATCATCCTTTCCTTTCTGACCCTTGTGCTGTTTGGCTCGGGGTTTTCTGTTGTTTAATAAGACAAAGACAGTAAATAGATAAATTGCTGAGAGTGGTCAAAGGGCAAAAAATTGTACATTAATTTGGCCGGCGCTGTCACGACTTGTCATATAATTGCAAGTGTCTGAAGTAACTCGCTTCTTAGTTAAAGGAGCTACGTCACCGTTTGCGCATCTTAAAAAATTTAGCCTAAATATTCCAAGTTCGTCGTTCGTAATCCGGGTTAATCTTCTCCATCCTTAACCATCCTTGTTCCCCTATGCTTTACTACTATTATCTCTATGGTGTTTTCTATCTTAGTAAACTACTACTTCAAGGTTTCCTCCAATTTAAAGGTGATTTTGTACATGGCCAAAATACCGTGACTGAGCTCCTCTAAGCCTTGTTACAAAGTACAGATGTGATGTGTGTTTCTAACTTACTTTCCCTTCTTGGACAGGTTATCTAGACACACTCGGATGTACTGGTTGTAGTAGTCGATCTGTTCTTCATAGAACTGTGATTTACTCTGCAGGCTTTCCAAAGTCTGGCCCAGTTTCTTCTTTTCTTGTCTTCGTCTTTGACGGTACCTTCTCTGGTTTCTGATGTCCTGCAAAAAGATCATACTCTGTAAGACTGAAGGACAACACGTACGGAAAAATCCATGAACTACAACGTATGTAGATGTCTGTGCATCAACAAAATGGGGATTTGCTTCATCATAACGAGGACGAGCGTCTAAAATGAAATTTAAAAGCCGTTGCAACTACCGTCACTTCGGTCGTAACGTACCGCTCTTTTGCGTGACAACTCTAATAACGAATGCAAAGAGGCGAAGGGGAAAAACTCAACCAAGCAAGTCCAGATATATATTACCTTTGCAATAGCGTTAATAATATCCTGATAATCATTCTTGATGGTAACAACCCCTTGACTTTCAAGCATCCGAAGATTTCTGATGATTTTTCTTTTCAGTCCTTCTAGCGGAAGCCTGAAAAAAAACATTCTTTCAGACGCTTACAATGATAACAGGGAAATACTAATCTTAAAATCAGATAACTTTCATTTAAAACTAAATTATTTCCTTTAGCGAAAGCGAACCAAACGAAATGGCTAAGCCGATCAACAAAGCTGAGGAAAGTAATTTAGTGTAGCACAAATTTGGAACATTCAACAAATTTCCGACAGCTAAGTCAACATGACGTCGTGTTGCCTAACAACGTCGATAAAAAAAAAAACTCTGCGGGCTCAATAAAGTTGTATCTTGGACTGGCTCGACGCTAGTTGCTAACAAGGACATCACAGCTTAGCCAGACATACTTGTTGTCTCCATAGGTTGAAGTAGACCTCGTCACATTTCCATGAGACTTGCTCTTGTTTTCTTCGTTCAATTCTCTAAGCTTCATTAATCGCATGTGCTCCTCTTCCTATAAGAAATGCGCACACTGCATCAGCAATTTATATTCTTTTGATTAAACATTAAAAGTCGATAAATGAAGAGGAGAAACAATGTCTTTCACCCTATCTCTCCAAGCTTCCCACTCGGCTTCTTACATGTAACTCCTCTCACAAGCAGATCGAGAAAAACAAAGCGAAAATGGTTTATCTGGATAGTTTCGGGAAGCAGCCATGTTTTAGAACACAAATTGTAAATCCACTTTTTCATCGGGTGATTAACTAGTGATTAACAAATTAAATAGAGATCAATTAAAACCAGTCTTACCTGCTCGTCAGAGGCGGGTGTCTCGAGAATTTCTGTCAGATTTTCACCAGCTTGGACATTCAATACATCAACGATCATTCTTTTTGTTCTACAGGACAAAACATTACATGTCAAAAGAAGTAACAGCTAGAGGCAAAGCAAGATGTCTCATAATATTGGGTGATTGCAAGGCAATCTGCCAAGAGCAATTCTCGGCATCATTCACGAACTGCGTGAAATATTGAAATATTCAATGCTGCGTGCAAGATAAGGCGAAACTAACGAAATAAAATAAAATAAAATAAAATAAAATAAAATAAAATAAAATAAAATAAAATAAAACTAAACTAAACTAAATAAAACTAAACTAAATAAAACTACACTAAATAAAACTAAACTTAACTAAACTAAACCCAACCCAACCCAACCCAACCCAACCCAACCCAACCCAACCTAACCTAAACTAAGTTATAATATCTAGAGAGGAAGCCACATCAGCATTAGCTGGTTTTCATGTGGGTCGTCAATCCTGATCATTTGGAATTTGGAAATGTTGGTTTTTCAGGAAGGAGGAAAACCGGAGTACCCGGAGAAAAACCTTCGGAGCAAGGCGAGAACCAACAACAAACTCAACTCACATATGACACTGGGCCAGAATCGAACCGGGCCACATTGGTGGAAGGCGAGCACTCTCACCACTGCGCCATCCCTGCGCCCCAATTTATCTATACGAAACCACTGGTGCAACTTGTTTCACAGTCAGTACGATACATGGTGAAAAGTTTCACGTACCTTAATATCTGGAGCGTATTTTTATCCCATTTATATCGCAGAATTCGTGTAAACGTAACAAATTTGGATTCATCAAAGTCGTTTTTAAAAAAAAAACAACACAAAAGACAATTTTAAGCGACTATTTATTGAACGTTTGCTCCAACAAGAACAACAACAGCGGCAACACTCAATATCAAAACTGGCACCCATTGTAGAATAAATTTACTGACTTCCACGACATTCAATAGTAGTCAAAAATACCCAGATACCAAAATTCCCGGCATTTTCCCTGACCTTGAAAACCAGTCCCTTGTCAACCATGTTAATTGTTGCTCATAATGTCAGTGGTAAAGTTACGTAGAATTGCCTAGTGATCATGTGACGGCCATTCTACTGAGCTGTTTTTTTAGAGTGCTCAAATAATCAAATAACGCGTAGTTTACCTGACAAACAACGCCCTCATGTCAGAGTCATCATCTTCTGGAACCTCAAACTTGTTGGTCAGAGTTAACGAGATCTCCGTTTTTGACGAACGTGTCGGGTCTTCTCCATCAACTGGTGCTGTTTCACCTGCCACAAGAACAACTTACAGTCAGACCACAGCTTAAATTTTATACCTCAAAGTCCATCACCACTACAAATTTCCTTGAGCAGTATTTTGAAAGCCCAATAGACAAAAACGGACAACAAGCAATCGAGAAGATACAGGTGTTAATCAGATGTTATAACAAGGGAAGAGGAAATGTGGCAAATAAAGCAACTTGTTTTACAGTAAACATACGGAGCAAATAACCCATTGCCTAAACATTGCATTAAGAGTGCTAAAAATGCTGAATGAAGACAATCCGTTCGGGAATAACCCTTACCCCTCCATTATGTTAAGTGTGAGACCAATGGTTTTTTGACAAAACAAATCTGTAAACTGCAGACCATTCATAGCTCTTAAGGTAGATCTCTGCCTTAACCCGTAAAGAGGGATTTTTGAGCAAAGTATTTCTAGAAGAAAACGACGATATTTACTACCGGTCAATTGAATACTAACTAAAACTCTACAGTGTTGACCTAAATCACACAACACTCTCCGAGTTGCAATGCCACATTCTGAGAGACATCCATTCCAGCCGAAAACGAGGCAACTGTAGCGTTCAACCCTGACTGTTCTAAGAACGAAGTATTGGAAAATTGATATAGTGATGTGCAAACTGAGTTGAGTTACCTAACAGTGCCTCAACACACGGTGCATCACCAAGGTCATCAAGTAGCTCATGGAGAGGGTCGTTGGAATCAGGTGCTATTTCGTCTCTATGATCTAACAGTAGAGTGTGAGTATCACAGATCTCCTGCACTGAGATGTAAATCACTGGTTTTGTGACCATCACCACGTCCGTGTACTCATCTATGTTAAAATGGCCCTCTGGTTCTTCCACTGTGGACACTTCCAAGAAAAATCTCCTGCAATGCAGTTACACGAAATCACATACAGTCAAGTTAATGACATAAGAATGCAATAATTTTCCCTTAGTAGCGTGGATAAGAGTCACAGCCCTAAATTGTACAGAAAGCAATATCACTAAAGAAAAAGACACAAAACACCCTTCCAAGATGATATATCTTCCAGACGGAAAGAAATACATTCATTTCTAATACACAGCCAGAAATTGTTGCTACAAATTTGAATGGCTCACTAAAAGGAATTAGCAGGAATCATGTGATCAGGCAAGAGCAACTGAATGTGATGCTTTTAACAGAGAGGTTACGATTTGTCCTGGAAACTCACTTGAATCTCTGATGGGCCTCTGCAATGTAGCCATTTAGAGGGCTAAGATGGGCACTCTCACCTCCAAACTAACGAAAAATGGCAATAACTCAAATTTAACAGAAGCAGAAATTCAACTGGGACAGCAAGAATCACCAACAACTTAACGTGCAGCAAGTCAACGAACTTCACAAGTGTCGATAATGGAAAGCAATTTTTTAGCAATGAGAACAGTTACACGCAAATATGAAAATGAGTTGGAGAACATAACGTTCCTGTGGAAACCCTCGACTGCAACTCGGATTGACCCAAACTCTACAGTTCTCTCGAAAGCACTCTTCCATTTGCATCAGGCTTTGCAGAGATAACGAAGTACGAGAGCAGGTTTCCACTTATTTATAACACTCATAAGGTTTCAGTGGATAAACATGACCCCAAAAACCCTTGTCAGTAAGTAACCAAAACTAAGATGGTGCTCAGGAGGTTGACTTCAGTCTTAGAATCAACTTGATGCAAAATGAAAATTAACCAAGTAACAAAAACTACGTGTCCTGGACAAGATGTCATGTTAAGCCAACTTGTACTAACAACATGTTCAGGCTTATGATCCGGGTCAGGATCCACATCAGACGCTGCTCGAGTCTCGATAACACGGTGTCTTCCTATCTGGGTAAAATACCTTTCTTTGAGCAGTAAGTTCAGAACTAATAACGCTGCTAATTTCGCTGCCAATATAAAGTCTTGAATACATTGAATACAGTTACGTGCCATGCATATTCCATTCTTTAAACATGCAAAACGTTCCACTGACGATAACTTTATCTTAAATGAAACGAAACTATCCGTTTACACGAAGTGTGACCAATAAGAGTCACACACAAGTCAACAAGTCGCTTAATTCAGTGTGACAAGATTTTTTTGTCATTCCTATTTTCAGTTAAAGCCAAAAACGTACATATCTTTATTGTGTTTTTTGATATCTTGTCCTAGTTTAATATTTCTGGACTTGAACACAGCAGATATAGATTCTTACCATTTTGTTTGATGCTGCGTACTGTAAAATCTTTGCAATGGATCCCAGATTTCTTCGCTAAAGATAAAAAAATAATCATTAGTCAAGTTGAGTTACGAGCGACGGCAAAGCGCAAAAATTAAACTTTTGCCATCTGCCTTAAGCCGTTGGTACACTACAGTGAGAGTAATTGTATTTGATGGGAATTGGGGAATATTTCTCTTTCGTTTTAGCATGTGTTCAAACCGAATCAGAGGCAATTTTTGCCGTTTGCCTTTAACGTTCAGAATTCTTCAACTGTCTAATATCTAAACTGATATATGCAGTTGGTCTGTACCAATTTCCTTCTGTAACGTTCAAATTTATTGCTCGTGAAATACAAGAAGACAACTACATGTAATCCTTGGCCATGAACGTATTTGCAGATTACAGGAAAGGTATGAACATTGATATACCTGATCAGGAGTCAATCCCTTGTCTACACCAAACGACACGATGTCAAAAGCATCCGGTGCTACGATAGCAGGGTTCATATATCTGTAGTAGATCAAGTTACCTACAACCTGCAAATGAATACAAATTATCAGCACTCTAGTTTCTGACCTACTGCATTAGAGATATAGTGCCAGTGCAATGAAAGCCCTCTATTAAGTTGACTCCGAAAGTCTCAAACTTTTCTTCCCATACTTTCTGTGAAAGGACCTGTGTTAAGAGGACACTAGTGAGGGTTCCGGAGGTGTCTTTTAAAACAGCTTTAAGTGTACTTATCACTTAACAACATGACGAAGATACAGAAAACACACAATTATTACATAGATGTCATTCAACTGCATCCTTGAAGCTGTGCATCCTGTGTTGTAGAGTGTGTGTAGGGCAACATATTTGCCACTTGATTCATTATTCCTGGACTAATGCACTGTGTACAGCGAAGGGCACACCTGATATAAACACGTCGCAACAGTTACCTTCAATATCTCTGCCTCTGGTACTTCTGGAAACTTTTCAGCCAGCGCCACTCTCAGAGACATGGCAACGTATCTCATACCATACCTGTCAGTGGATAAACAGCAGTACAATATTGGATATATAGTAATTACGAACCCTTGTGAAAATGTTTACAAAACTTAAAACAACGTCATAATAGAGCTGATCACTTTGACAGAAAACGAAGCAAAATTACACAAAAACATACAGCCGTTGGCGGAGTGCTGGAAAAATCACTTGTGCATAATCCACTCTTTACCTTATTGGCTGGGAAGGCAAAATCTTTATTCTAATTAGTCAGAAACACTGGGAAAGTCACACAGACAGTCCATAAGCAATGTAAGCCGCACGCAAGACCAGGAAAACTTACCCAACCCAACGTTACGTATGCTATGAGGACATGATACTTACGGGATTTTGTCACCGGACTCCACAATGGAGTTTAAAAACGTGTCTGTTGCTTGTGTCAGCCTCTTCATGGCTGCTTCTATTCTGTCTCGCACTTCAGGGTGTTTAAGCGCTTGCTCTGGTTCCACATCATATGGCAGTTTACTAAACAGTACAGTGGGTAGAAAATTAACATGCAGTTCACACTGATCATGAACGGAGGCCAATAACTGTCTTGTGTACGTTGGTCAGTTCTAAATCATCTCATTTGTATCTATAAGCAGGTGATGATCGCCAGTTTACAGATATAAGAAATGAGGATATATCATAAATATATAACACTCAAAGCAGAAAGTTCGATTCTGGATAACAGGACACTGTTGAAAATCACAAATCACAAAGAAACTAGATTTTCGTCATTAGTGTTAAAATTTGGCCTTAAGCAACTTAGCCATATAATTAAAAGTACAATTTACGCAGCAGTTCACCATACATTTTAAGATGTTCAGTCATTCCTACTGAAATGATAATATGTACCAAATTGCAATATCTACCTGTACCACACACTGTATTTGTCCTCAATACAACAAACACGACAGACCGTGCTTTACCACATTTCCAAATTCCAAAAAGAGATTTGTAAATACGACGCACTTGGGAGTAGGTTTGACCAACTTCAAGGTGTTTGGAAATATAGTGAAACACGTCTCGAGTATTTATCCTCTCAATCGAAACTAAAACTAAGGGGAAAATGGGCAAATAAAATCGAAAAATCTATGCTGATTGCGATCAGGTTTCAAAACACTGATTGATTAATGATCAGTGAGTTTAAGAAGAAGCTACATAATGAACAGTAAATCCACAAAGGTAAACTTTTGTTTTACACCATAGACAAATGCTTAAGATGTTTGTACCTTGCCTCTCCTGTCTCTGACTCCATTTGATTAATCCAGGCTTTGTAGACCTCAAGTGGGTTGGTATTTATTGACAGGTTCTTGTCATTGAGAACACCTTCTACCAATGGCTGCAAAAGTTCTCTCAGTGAGCTCTGACCCCTGGTACCTCTGCGAAAATGAAACGGAAAAGATTGTACAATAATTAGATAATGAAAAAAAAGATCATCTAATTTTATCGTAACTCCACGAGATCAAGGTTACTGTCAACCTTCATGAACATGTTGCACAGAGTGGTGGGTAAATATATCAAATCGCACATACACAAAGTGGAATAAATGGCACTGTAATAAAGACAATTACGACATTTGCAAACTAAATAACTAGAGTCCCGTCATACTAACTGGTTTGGTGATTTGCAACATAGCACTACTATACAGTTTCACAAAACATCTTTCAACTATGTGTTTTTAGAATGTCACAATATTTACTTTTTCATCAGTGGTTGGGCATAACATCTCACTGTTCTTTAAGTGACGTCAATTGCTTGCACCTTACACCAGGCTGTTAAATTGGTCACTTCTAGTTTGCTAAACTCACCTATTAAAGTGCACCACCATTCTAATGACTGCTGGATTACCTGTTACAATCTCCTGTATTTGATCAACTTTTGAACTAAAAGAAAGAGAAATGATTTCACCTAATATAGCAATAGAAACTCATCTAAAGCTTTTCATTAAACATAATGTGTAATTACAGTTACAAAATTCGTTGAAAGTAATTTTAGTTCAAGTGAAATGGTGCTAACCCCATATGTTGTTGGGAAAAATCAATAACATAGGAAAGTTGATATTTTAATTTATACTAGATTCAAAGCTTCAAATTCTGAGGAACCATCCCGTACTTTACATGAGACTTGGTCAATAAAATAGTTGAAGAGAAAGAAACATATTTGATTCCTTTCATCCATTCAGGTTTAAACAGCAAGAAAAATGGAGTTAACGAATATTGCATAACATATCTTTTGTGCATTTTTGCTTCCATCGCTACAATACCTGTAAGTACATATGCATTACAATGTACACTTTTTTGGTACAAACACCTGGTATCTGTCACCCCTTCAACAAAACGGACCATTTGGCATGCATATGCTCAGCAAAGAAAGGTGATTGGAAGTCCTTTATTGATAACCAGGGACTTGAGTGCAGTGAAATGGAATTGATTTGACAACCGAAGAAAATGCCATGACCTACATGTGGTTTATGAAACAGACTAAGACAACTGTGTAAAAATTTGTCTTCTACTCTTTCAGAATAGTGAATGAAACATCATGATACTCATGACAAACTGTACTATTGCAATGTCTATATGAATCAAGACAAGTAGTTTGGAGTAGGTAAACAAATCAAGTGATACTTACTTGATTTCCTCTTTGAGCGCAGTGTCAAATAATTTCACAAGTAAGTACTCTTCCCGAGCATTTGAAGCATAGTTGTACAACGTCAATATAACAGATTCCATGAATTTGGTAAATTTACTTTGTGGCATAGCAAAAATCAGTTTGGCCAGATAAACTGGGTTTGTCTGTAGCAAGTAAAACAGGTTCTGATATGCCTCTAGTTTTTCATGGCTTTCTTTACTCAGGGACTTAATTCCTTTGGTTCTCTGTAAAGCCGTGCTCATGTCTTGCTTTTCCCGCTTCAAGTTCTTTCCATGATGTATTACATCCTAAAAACAACATTTGGCTTGATCAAGTTGAGATAAGAATATGGTAATCTCCAGCTGCTACCATCATTTCTTTTATGTAACAATTTCCAAGGCTGAAGAATGCCGAGATTGTAAGAAATCCCCACCATAACAATGATATTTTATAACAGTTTGCAACACAAGACAGAACCCCTTCATCTTTATGGTTTAGACTGATGTTACCTAGGTCAGAATTCTACATGTACAGAAACAGTATAAATACCATGATGTGAGAATACTGATGTACATTACTAGTAATCAAAGAGCTGCAACCAGCATGACTAAAAACAACACAAGAAACAAAGCCAAAGCCCCTAAAAATATATACTTATAAACACAACCAAGGTTTAGTAATCTCTTTTGTAGATGACAGTAGCATGAGAAGCAGGACATACAACAGGAGTGAAATTTCCTGATTTTAGACAGAACCATTTCATACCTGTAGAGTGATTCTGTTTCTAACAAGAAGTCCAATCTTGATGTCCATCAGACTCAAGTCATTTTCTAGTTGTTGATTTGATCTGATCTCTGTCACAACCTGTGCCCTTAGCTTCTGAAGGTCTGCAGATCAATTATTAAAAACATCAGTGAAATCACAGAGCACATTGACGATCTGTTGTACATATAAGTTTTGGGTGGTTTTAACCAACAATACCAATGCTGAGAGGAAAAAAGTTACATGTTATATTTTGAAGGCCATTCCCCTGTTAAAAATACAATGGTTGATATGCAAGAAACTTAGCTGAGCTAGTTTGAACTTTTTAGAGCTGCTAAATGTATTCACTCCTCTAAAAGGAATGGCTTTTCCTATATGTTGACAGATGTCAATCTCTCAGTTATCTAGTGAACAGGTATTCTAGTCTGAGGGAGGAAGACACCAAAACGTATGTTCATGTACATGTACATTGTATTGAATAGTCTTATGGTTTAAGTCCTCATGTAATACCACTGCCACTGCTGGGCTTGTAAATAGGGCAGTTCTACTAAATACCTAGCTCCTCTTCAAAGTCTGCATCACTATGTTCCAAAAGATGAAGGAATTTTCTTACAGTCTTCACAGGTGGATCTTGCATGGAGACTGCAAAGAAAAAACAAACTTTGTAACAATACTGTCATCAAAAGGGTATTATACATTGACCTTCACCGGTTCATTAAGCCAACATTCCATCCATATATAGAGCAATTTCTGTTACATGCCAGTACACAAATGAAGATACAAAAAAAGGTAAGGTAAAGTCAGTTTTCACAGCATCAAGTGACTGTGAGAGGGATGCTTGTCCATGGCATGGTTACCCCAGCATTAAATTCACTGGTACCCATTAATACAGAGAGGAAAGTGGCACTGTGAGAGTATTTAGTGTGTTGATCAAGAACACAACGCAGTGACCACAGTCACTGCTCAAACCCAGATAGCTTGATTCAGAGTCCAGCGTGCTAACCATTGCGCTACAGCGCCTCCCAGATGCTGATGAGTAAGTACAATAAATCATACTCACTGAGTTTTCGATAATCATTTTGAGCAACATTGGCCCTCACCCATGCTTGGATCTTCACTATGGCAGAGTTCTAGAAAACAATGCATCAGCAAATTTTAAAAATGCTAACTGTGCTATATTGAAGTTATTAATTCATAATTGCATGGGTAGTTTCAGTCCTCAGTTCAAGAAGACTACTAACATGAAATTGATCACTTCATTGAATATACCATCAAAAAAAACATTGACACAGCTTGTCAAAACAAGTCAAAAGCATGCTCTCTCTATTTCATATATTGCGTTTGTTACTTTTCCTCATTAAAATGTTTTCCTGTCCATACACTGAAATTATTAAACATAATCACAGACTTTTGAAAAATTGCCTAAAAGAAGTCATCTGGTGGGCTTTCATGTAACTGTTAAGCTAATTTTCAGTATTCAGAATGTGAACTACAATTGTAAGCAAGCTACATGTAAGGGATGACATTCTAAGTTATGCTTTAGTAAAATAGACAAAAAAAAAACCCCAAGGGGGAGGGAGAGATGTGGGAGGATAATCTGGCCAAATTATTTTACTGAATACAGATAGCTCCTGATGAGGTTAATTATTAACCTCATCAAGCTTGATTCACTCTTGGATGTAGCTTAAGTAAACATTTTAACTACATGTAAAATACCACCCCCCCCCCGCCACACCCACAGACCTCCTTCAAATAGTTTCAAGTAATAGATAATCTTACATGGTCTTTGAAGTATTTGCTTCTCTCTAAGTATTTTTTTCTGGCAAGTGACATCCTCACCCAGGATTGAATCTGATTAGTAGAAGAGAAGAAGAACAATTAAACACCCACAAATACACAACATCGGTACAAATGTAATCAAAAAGCCTAATTTCATTATCACATGAACTTAACATAACTTTGTGTTACTTTGAAATCCTGGTCATACAATATACTATATGCTACACCCCCCTGCCCCCCAACCTGCGCAAAAAAGGAACAAAAGCTAATTAAGAAACAACTTAAACTTTATAATCCTAATTATCAACATTGTTATATTCCAGTTTCTGAACAAATGCAACCTGGGGGTTGTCCTTGTTATATATAAAGACTATTTTAAGAAGGACACCTTACCTTTACGACTTCTTCAGGATGACTGTTAAGCTCTTTAAGCCTCCTTTGGTATTTCAGCCTCTGCATAAATCCTCTCACAAATGCCTATCAATGCAACATGTTACTCTGATGTTAGTACTACTGAAAAGCTACTGGCAGATGTTGAGCAGTTTCATTAGTAGCTGATTAATTACAAATTTTCCAGGCATATAACTGGACAAAAGTGTACATTAATTACAGCATCTTAAAATGTCTTTCTTGGATTCATATCCATTCCACGAGTTTGTCTTTTAGAAAGTAGTGCCTCGCTAATTTGAACACCCATATCTTGACACCCTGATTTATACATTACAAGCTTCAAAAGAAATTTTCTAGAAGCAGTTACTTTTCAAGTCTTGGCTAACTACCACACCCACATACATGTACATGTATGATAACATAACAGCTACATGGATACAATAAAATTATGTCAGCGAACCAACCTGTATTTTGATAATTGCTGGTAAATGTTCTTTGATGAATGTTCTTCTTTCTTTGTAAGCCTTTCTGGCCAAGTATCCTTTCCAGTTGGCCTGCAGCTTGACAATCAGTGGCTCATTTGACTGCATGTGAATCCATCGGTCATACTGGGCTGTCACACGTGATATCACACCCTGTTAACACAGCATCATGTCAGCTTAGAAGAATAATTCACTTTTTACTGCTTGCCAATGATGGAAATTTAATTTTGATGGTACTCGCCATCTAGGTGCATGGCTTGCAAAGATGCACAAGAAATGTTCAACTTATACTTTCTAAAAACAACTGACTAGCCTGGGCAAGTCATAGTGATTAACCATTCCAGCTGACCATAGCTCTACTTTTAATCCATGCTCATGGAGAAATTCAGCATGTTTACAACACAAAGTTTGAGAAATGTATTGGAAAATTACTTGAAGCTGTTTTGATTGCAAGAAGTGGTCAATTTCCAGGTAGACTAGTTAGCATGTATGCAGGTGAATACCGAGGTATCAACTAATGAAACCAATATAGATGTACTCACTTGAATTTCCTCCCTGGTAAGCACTGCTGAGTTGCTGATCATACTCTCAGGTTTTTCCCAGCAACTTTCAGTACTCTCAGTATTGTAAAAATACAAGTAACCTTGCGAGGTCTTCTGCTCTAACCACACAGAAGTGCTACCTACAATTTACAAGATAAATATGACGTTAATAATAATAATACTAAGTACTTAGAGTAAAAAATATTTCCCTGCACTGTGAATTTACAATTTTATTTTCATTTATGTAGTCATTTATTTTTTTTTTTGGCGGCGAGGGGTGGGTTGGGGGTGGGGGTGGGTGGGTGAGGGGGGACATACAATTTAATGCAACATCGATGTGTACCATCTTCACCTTCCCCCTTCCCCCACTTTGCTGCCCTTAAAATTACACAGTGGAAAATATTCATAGTAAATGGTAGACAGAGCCTACATGTAGCTACGGGAACAATTTATCAAATGTTACATAATTCATCATAATCGTCTTGACTGGATTAAACACAGGTCACTCCAAAGACAACCAACACCATGAGTTCTACAGATAACAACCAGTCACTGTCACATCATAACATGTGGCAGTGACCCCATGAGTGGAATCTACTTCATTTTGTTTGTGCCAAAATTCCCAACTTCAAACAAATTAACACAGTATCTCCCATGAGCAGAGAGAGTAGTATAGAGATAAGGCTACACTGGACTACATGTAAATGTATCTAGTGCTCACAGAATGGAAATCACTTGGGACACCTGTGGTCATATCTTACCAAAGCTGTGTACAGCAAGAGCATGTAAAGGAAGGTAAAATACAAGTCTAAGGAGATGTCACTGACCTGAATCTTTCTTACTGTCTTTGAGTTTTTTGAGCTCTTCAAGGTACTCCTGAATACACTTGGATGTGACCCCATAAATACTGGCCCTAGGGTATGTGAGAGCAGCCTTCAGGAGCCTCTCATCTTGTGCGTCAATTGCTTGATTGATTGCAGTCACGCCCTCTGCCACTGAAGGAAAAGGAAATGAGTAAAATAAACATGGTTGTAAATACCGCCACTTCCCAATCAATAATAACATGGAGATAAGCATCAGGAATTTTTTATAACGCAATTCATCAGAAGGGGCATGAAAACAAAACCTGACAATTTTCCTTTTAATTTGTAGACATCTAGGGGACTGACTCATACATTTAAGAATTAGGAATAGAAGAGTTATTCTGCCATTTTTTGAGCCATAACCTATTTGCCACTTTAGAAACGAGAAGAAACATGGGGCTCATATTGTAGTGGCTTGTGTGACCGTTACTAGGTAAAAACAAAAGATAGAAGCTATATTGTCCCCAGTAACAATCCCACAGGCGACTGCGAGATGAGTCCCTTCTTGTTTTTGTATAGAGGTGAATTGCCTTTTATATAGTATGTGTACTGCAAACAAAGCATCATTATTTATCTTAAATACTTACACTGCCGTGCCTCATCTGAGTGACGATTGGCATTGTCTAATGTTCGTTGAATCTCACCGTGCCACAGTTCTGCTGAATCTTCATCAGCTTTCTACAAGTTAACAACAAATGATCCATTTTAATTTCACATTTGCTGAGCACCTGATAATAACCTGTACTACAACAGAAAACAATCCTATTTCTGCAGTCAACATAAGCAACAATGTCAGAGGTGGACACAGTGTGATCAGTTAAATATTACATTTTTCACTTGGAATGTGTATATACTCTGTCTCTGTTACCATACAGTTTTGATTCAAGTTGATGCTTCTACAGTGACCTTCTACCATCCTAACCTGAGCTTTGGCAGTCTTTTGAGAGAGGAGAAGCTTCTGATAAAGTTGGCTGTTGTCAGGAACAATACTTGACAGTTTGGCGGCATCAGCTTGTAAAGCTTGTAATGTACTTTGGGGTTCTCCCTTGTCAATGGTTTCATTGATGACTGCTATGGCAGATATTACTATGTGCAAGAAAAAAGAGCCCAACATGAGAAACAGTTATCTACGGACTAAGAAACGACCTACATATTAAATAAGACAAGGGCTAGCTTCTTTCATAATGAGACAAGGGGATATTAAAACCGATAGACATGATATGACAGTCAGCTTAGCCTAGATCCCAGACAGTGTGACACAAAGTTAGTTAAAGCTGAGGATAAGAACCATGCTTAGCCATAAGTAGTTAGTGATTACTGGATAGGGATATCTTTTTGCAAACATAGTTCAAGGCTGTTTGGCATTCCTGATTTTAGGACATCGCTTTTTGAAAAATTAATAAGAATTGGAGCTCTAGCTTTGTTTCAACAGAGAAAGCAAAAATGGCACTTGTTCCCCTGAGCGAGAAAAGAAAATTATTCTGCTTACAGTCATGTTCCTCCTGAACAACAGCATTCACAAAGTCCACACATATCTGAAGCTCAATCTGGGTCAGGTCATCTTTGCCAACTCCACAGTCCTGCAATGAAAGTACCAAACACTTATTAATATGCTGACCATTCAGTACGAAGAACCTTCTAAATTGGAATAAAAGTGCAAGATATAACGGTTACCATTACACCCACAAGAGACTCGCAAGACTACTAAAACAAATAAGGGAAATTGTGCCTTGACTGTAGAAGTTTCTTTGTGAACTCGCATTAACAGTCTCACTCGCATTTTATTTCCACTTGAGTAGGAATACAAGAAGTCAAAATGTTTTTATACCTGAGAACACGATGCTGCGACATGATGGGCCACTTGGCTCATATGCCAACTTTACGTACCTTTACCTTGCATTATTACCTATGTTTGGTTTCTACTACTCTAATGGCATTCAACACATGAGCATAGCCCATGGATGCTTACACTACAACATGCTGAACACTTCATCATTCACACTTTTTGAAGTACCTGAGCTTTCTCCTCTTTAACAGAGATCAAATGACTTAGGTATCTGTTACAGTAACTCTCATCCACAGATGTCAAGCCAGCACTACGGCTGTTCATTTTTTCAATTAACTGAGTGGAATTCTCATTTTCAATGGCTTCATTTATGGCTGCTATGGCTGTCAACACTGAAAGTAAAATAGGAGACAATGGTGCTTAAAAATTAGGACTCCGGGCTTTGTGTATATTTCTCCAGAAGTCTAAACAGCTTGCAGAACACAGCATCTGGTCATTTTGAATGTACTGGCTAGTGGATGGCCATCAGATGTGATTTTACAGCTATTATTATCACACTCCCCTTTAAGGACATCATATTTCATTGCTTACTGTCAACAGTGGTTACATTCATTTCAAGTTTCACAGCTTCAGGTTTAGACAATAGAGTATGACTGTACTGGTAATAAACCTGGTCTGCTTTTAGGGGAAGTGTAGCTTTTCATCTCTAACTTTACAAGGGAAAGTATGCATTCCATGGGGTGGGGGAAGGTGGAGGAGATTAATCAAGGCTGTGCACATCTGAGAGCAATACCTGACAACTGATCACATATGGCTTGATGGGAAAGTTGAGATTCTTCATGTTCCTGTAAAGCAAAAGATATCAAGATTCAACTGTTCAGAAGTTTTCTTCCAGTGATAAAAGAAAATGTGTGAAAGCAATTTTTAAGGCTATGTTGCCCTACAGCTGTGTCCCAGAAGGGGTAGGGGCACTCTCTCACTTAAGCTGTATAGGTAGGTGCAATGCTAAAGGTATGGTTTTTAAGCCATTCTGGTTTGAAATAGGGTATAAATTTTGACCCTTTTGCTCTAAAACTAAGAATGCAGTTTGCACACTCTGGTCAAAAATTGGACATAATTCTTAAACTTATTGGCTGATGAAATGTACAATGTCAAGTAAAAAGAGCAACCCTTACTTGCAGAGCTTGTTGTTTGGCTTTATAGAGACCATCATGGTAGAGAAAAGCACTCCTGGTGAGTACTTTTGGGAACAATCCTTCACGCTTTTGAATCAAGGAGTGAGTTTCCTCAACAGTTCCCATATCCAAGGACTTGTTTACGCAATGCACTACGTCCTCAACTGAAAACAGAAACAATGCAGTCATCAACTTTATAAACTGTACTTTACTGCACAGTTCATAACCCAGTGCTATTCTAAACATACAATTATCATGTGTGCGCAACAGTTGCACAATAAGTTATTAACAATATTTTCAATCTCTTTCAAATTGGTTCTGTTTAAACTGCTCAGGAAGATGAGTTCATTTGAAGTTCCATAAAAAGTACAAAGATCTCACTCAGAGGAAACAATTTCTTCATCAACATTCAGAAAGAGAACACTCACTTTGCCTATGTTGCTCAGCCAGGTCATTTGCGGAATTGACTGCTTCCTGGATTTCAGCTTGTGTGAGATCAACTTCTGCTGGACCTGTTTGCTGTTGGAATTAATTCAAACATTATTTTAGAATGATTCAAGACCTTAAATGTGATCAGTGGTCTGTATAGTGCAGGCTGCATATCCTGTGCTATTTTCTATTCTCTGCTCCTTCATATTCCGCAATTTGTGAAATCATCACTGGTCTTGTTTGTAGACCATGTTTGCCTTGAAACATTTTAAAAATCCCAAATCACATGAATACACGGTTTGTTTTGCTTTAACATCTACTTTGAAAATTGTCCCATAATGCATTGCTAAGTCTAGGGCTGTGGATTAAGTCATCACATTATTTGTATACATGAAAATTTTAGTATTTGTTTACAATTTCTTAAATAGAAGCTGATGAAATACCTCTTGTTTTATTTTTCTTTTCTCATCTAGCATCTTCATGTACCAAGATGCATTTTCTCCTACAACACCAGACAACCTAGCAGCCCTGTTAGACAGGGCCAAGGTCAAAGCATCCTCACTGTGGTTGTTCAGTGCTTCATTGATTTCTTTCACAGCCTGGTTCACTTCAAAGAAAACAAAACAAAAAAAATTCAATTAATATTTAGAATCATGATATTTTTCTTATCTCCAAACTGTGACTTTGGTTTTCCACACATCAAAATACTTATTAAGATTTCTCATGTCAAAATAATCTTCTACTCCAAACCAGGTAGCTTCCTGAAATGAAAGCTGATCACTTGAAATTCAGTTCAAACATTCATCCCTATTGATAACCACTTGTTGGTACCATCCATGACGAGCTGGAACATCAAAACTTGAATTATAAGCAGCTGAGTCTGAATTTGATAGCCAGGTGTACCTCTCTTGGATTTGAGCTAAAAAAATTCCCAACTGATGATAAATGCACCACAAATATCCGAGCAGTATCTCTGATTGGTTAAAAAGAATGACAACCTATCAGACACAGCGAAGAATTTCATGGTGAGAATCTCAAATGCCTGTTTTGAATGTATTGTACTGGGCACCAAAAGGACAGATCCCTTTTTACTCATTCAACAAGTTAATTTCAACTAAGAAATTTCTCAAGAGTAAATGCTGAAGGTAACTTACATGCTTCCTCAGCTTTCTTTCTTCTGATCACATCATTAACCTGACTGATATTTCCTTGTATCTCAGCTTGTGTTAAAAGCGTGTCATACACATCCATCCCTTCCTTACTTGGAGACTGCAAGCAGCATCAAAACTTAAGTGTTTTTCAAATGTTCTGTAGAGTACTACCAAACTTACACCATAGAACCTTATTTAAATTCCAGATTAACAATTCTAAAAGACTATTCCTCACTACTATGAGTTAAAGCCCAGGATGATTATTGTTTGTGTTTTTGCACAAAAAGGGGGAAATTATTTGGAGAAGGGGGCGGGAGGTGACATTAATCCAGGTGGACAAAAAAAATTCAACTTTTGCTCACTGGGAGTTGTCCAAAAAATATATTTAAGTAAGAATAAGACAGGCTCTAGAAATTGATAGAAAGCTTAAATGGAAGATGCCAAACAAAAGAGAAGAAGCAAAAGCATAGTTACATGCATATTAAAGACATTGTGGTTGGTTGGCCATCACTCCAAAGACAGCAGTGATGGCCCTCTGGTGTTTTAGTATGAGCATGCATCTACTAAACTATATCATCTTGTTTGCACTTTCCTGAACGTAGAAGACAGCAACAAAGGTGATGCCAAGGTTATTGGAAAATAGACATTTCTGATGTGTTAACTATAGACAACACCAAGGAATTAAAGTGGGACTATGATGAAATTCACAGCTTTTCTATCTAAGCCATTTTAAAACATAAACAAGTAGTCTGTATGAGAAGAAATGCTGTTTACTGTAAATGTTAGGTAGAGTTTGTGGTTTTGTTTAATGTTTTTTAAGCTAAAAATCACTAACATACTATTGGAATCAAGTGGGTTGGGACTGGAAAAGGGTGAGTTGCCATGGGGACAGAATTTTTATAGCCATAGGTGTGTTGCATGTAAAACTATTAACTTGCCAAGTTTCAATGGTGTTCGCTGCAAATTGACCAAGATATCTCTATTTATATACTTCATATGATATTGGACTGAGTGTATGATGTCATCAGTAATCTCATTTGCATATTTCACACATTTTTGCTCATGGATGACATAGTCTTCCATGAGCTTAGAGGGCAGTCCAATGGCACTCCCTCACTCGATTCTGATTAACTTATACATTAAAGTGGGATTAAAAATTTCTTCTCCTACCTCCCCTGCTAAGTATTGTTTTTCTCCCAAAGACTTCTGCTCATATGTTTGGTGGGTTTGGG